CAGATGCTTTTTGCTTTTGTTTCTGCTTTTCTTGTTGTTTTTGGGTGGATCAGCAACTTTTACTCCACTTTGGGCAGAGGCGTTGGAGCCATAAAGTGTGTGTCTAATCCAAAAGAAAGTGCTCTGGGGGCGTAATACTCCGAATACTAATACTCAGCTGCTAACACCCGAACCCCAGACAGATGAACACAGAAGAGGCCTGCCCTGCCTCCTCTCCGTTCGGTCACTGGCCACTGGCCACTGGCCACTGGGTGGCATTTAGTTGGGAATTTAAATTGCTAATTTTTGCTTTTAAACCAGGAACTTCTGCATTTATTTATGCTTTTTTTATGCCTTTCTGTGTTGCTTATAAATTGTAATTCCTTGTCCAACTTGAAATGCGCAAAAGTTATATGCAACTTCCTCAACTGTTCCTCAACGTACCGCCTGTCTGCCTGTAGCTGGAACCTAGACCTGAACCTAGACCTGAACCTGAACCTTGTACCTGGGCGGGGTGCATAATTTGTCGACTTCCTTCTGCTTTATGTTCTAAAATTGTGGCCAACAGGCAGGAATCCTAAAGCCCTCCTCAGGCCAGAGACAGTTTATGTCGCAGAAAGGTGGAGGAGAGGGCATTTCTAGCTGCAGCTGAATCTTCCCTTGGTCCACTCATTTCTCATTAAAGCCAGCCACAAACTGTGTGTTTTTGGGAAAGTGCATTTCGGGGTATTCAATTTATAGACCATAAAGGCTTCCAATGGCTGGATGGATCCATATCCACTCTTATAAATAATTTATCAATTTGATGTTGCAAGCAGGCAGCAGGCGGGCAATGCACCAATTGAATTAGCCATCAAAATGGCAAACGAAAAGAGAGAAAAATGTGATTTAAATGCAATTGGTTTGTGTGCTCTGTGGCTCTGTGGCTATCTATGTATCTGCCAGTACGTACAATTACACGACCTAGAAAGCCAAAGCAGCAGAAAGTAACCCGATAGACAGACAGACAGAGAGAGAGAGAGAGAGAGAAGAAAGCCAAAGATAGAGCCACAGATCCTCAGTCGAAGTAGAAGCTAACAAAAAAAACAGCAAAAGACAAAAAGCCACAAATTCGATGGGGAGTTGTGTAGGTGCGGGGGCGGGCAGGCCCCCAAGACACGAATGAGGAATGAAAGATGTTGCAAGTATCTCATAGGTCGTTTGGGTCTCTGTAATGCAAATAGCTGCAGTTGTTCCAGCTACAGCTACAGCTACAGCTACAGCTCCAGTTGTGTAGTAGAGACATTCGCAATTAGTTTGCCAAATGCTGTGAGATCTTAATTTGGTCGTGAGTCCTCGTCGTCGTCTTCGTCGTCGTTGTGGGTGATGGCTGCAGGGGGCTTTGGACATGGACTGGGACCTGGGACCTGGGACCTGGCACCTGGGTCCTACACATTTGACTCGACGAGGTGTCAGGTTTGTTTAGCTTGAACTTGATGTAGTTTGTTTTTGGCAGTCGGACTAATGATTATTTACACTCTCACTCTCTCGCTCCGCCGCTCTGTGTTTTTCATGGCACAAAACGTTCAATGGAAAGTGCCCTTTGGGCTGGCAGACAGCGGACAGCGGATGGCACTTCTCATTAGTATATCAATGTCTTGTAGCTGCACGATCTGCAAATCGATGCAGCCAACGTTCCTGATCTTTCGCTCTATGTGGATGCTTTTCTGCAGATAACTTTGGCAGACTCTTCGGCCGTTCTTCTGCAGAACTTTGCCCCAACTTTAGTTGCATCTTTTTGGTGCCACAAATGCCTGAACTTTCCTCATCAGTGGCTGTGGCCATCTTCCTGCCGCCTGTGCCGCAGATCTTGCAGTCGTCTCTCCTTCTGTAAGTGAATAGCATGCGGCGAGATAAATGCCTTGGCCAAATGGGACGGGTATTCCATTCCATTCTTCCATTCTTGTTGCCGCGTCATTGCCATAAATTGCCCATCGTTCGATAAATTATGGAATGGGCACAGTGGGCAGTCGCTGACCATCCACCATCCACCATCTACCCGATGCTTCCCCCCCCCCCCCCCCCCCCCCCCGGCTGCCCACAAAGTGGAGCTTCGTCTATTCTTGGTTCTTCGGTTAATTGAATTGAGGCTTCGCTCCCCCCTCCTCCTCCTCTGCTCTTCTGTTTCTATTTCTACTTTTGCTTTTGCTCTTGCTCTCTTTTCTTTGTTCGGCATTTTTATGGGCTTTGTTTTTGGCGGACCCTTTGCCGGATTTCACTTTTCATTTTGGCTTTTCGGGGGTTCTTCTGTGTATACAATTTTCGCTCTTTCGCTGGTAAATAAATTACAGTTATTAGTGGGTGAGATTCCGCACCCCCCTCCCCTTTAATTGCTTGTAAAAGTTTTAATAAATCATCTGCAGAAATGAAGAGAAAGATCATGCCGTGTCCACGGCAACCCTTTCGCCCAAGCAAAATCAAACTAAAAATAATGTTAGAAAGCCAAAACCTCGCGAGACACTGAAGATTTGGCGGCGTCTCGGCTTTCTTCTCGCCGCGTCTGTCTCGTCTGGCGGCTGGCATTGTTCGGTTTTCCCTAATCATATATATCTCTGCATAAACCCCTCTGTTTACCCCCCTCTTTGGATGCCCTTTCTCTGCTTTCTGCTTTCTGCTTCATTGCTTTCATTTGCATTCGTTGGCAGTTTCCGCTTTGCTACCACTCTTTCCCCAGTCTAGTGGCTTTTCTTGGACTTTTCTCCCTTGAAATTAGCATAACTTTGGGCCGCTTCTACTGTATCCCCTTCCTCCTGCTCAGCTCTAACGGTCAGCTTCAATCAGGGGTCCCATTGTGTGTGTGTGTCTCTTCTGTGTGTTAACAAGCAATTGATGAAACAAAGCGGTAAACATTTAACCCACACTCGAACTTCACTCCATCTGCCCCGATCTCTGTGCTTTTTCTTATGTAATGGATGATGAGCTGTGGTCTGGGCTGCTCGAATAGAATTAAGCGACAGACTGAACGGATTTGTTGTGCATTTTGTATTGCAAAGTACTTGAGATTGGGCTCCAAACTGCTGGAGTTACTCGAATGGAATGTGTAAGTATATTTATTAGGAATTAATGCCACAAGTGCTTCAGTTTCTTCCGCTCAGTTTGTGCAGCAGTTTTGAGCATTTTCTGAAACCTGCAGCATGTTGCTGGCATCTTTTGTTGCTGCCCACACAGACACCAAACACACACACACTCTGACAGAGAGGAACCTCGCGATAAGTGCACTTTTCCATGTCAATCAAATGGCTGACCAACCAACAAGTCACGCCTCAGCGGCAGCTGCCAATATCATTCATCCATCTGCATCTGCTTCTGCATCTGCATCTCTCTTGGGTTAAGCAACATTTCACACTCTTTGTTCCATGTGGTCCAGGAGGTGGGAAGCTTTATCCCCTTTCCTTATGTCTCTTTGTCTTTGATTTTGCACCGCCTCCCGCCGCCTTTCGTTTCGTTTCCTTTCTTTTCTCTTTTTGTTATGATTTCTGAAAAAATCACATTAACTGCAATTCACTTTTTCTCTCTCTGTCTAGCTGCTGTTTTTTTTCTGCTGTTGCAAGTCTATGATTATATGCTCTATGACTTGTGAAATTGTCGGGTGTCATTGCTGGAACGACGAGGCACGCGGCACGGAACACGCGGCAAGAGTCAAAGTTTGTGTGGCAGCAACGAAAGTTTTGCTGGTTCCGTTTGAAAGTGTTCGAATTGGCTGGGATCGGGTCTGTTGCGGGTTTCCTAGCTAACCAACTGCCTAAGCGATTCTGATTGAGAATGTTTAAGCTAAGTGAAATATTCTGGCTTTAATTTGGTGAAAGAAGGTGCTCCAGTTGAGCGAAAACCCACCCTTGAAAGCAGCAGATTCTAGCCCGAAAGAGAGCAGAAATGTCTCTCTGGGTAGTACCACCGCTCTCTCTCTCTCTCTCTCTCTCTGCTCCTCGTAGCTTCTGTAACTGCTGCCTCTCTGCTTTGCTCATAGCTTATAGCCTGATTAGACGGATGGCTTCCTAAGAGACGCAGTATGAGGCTGCAGTTAAATTTGAGTTGATTCTTCCTGCATCGAGGCTGTAATTAATTATTATGAGCTGCGGTCTGGTGTTCGGGGAGTGGCTTTGGCTCATGCCAAGAGTGGGGAAGAGTGGAGAAGCCTCCAGTCACTAATTAGATGAGTTGAGAGCGTGAAAAAGTCGTATATTCATACTACCCATGTGGGGTTTGGTTGCATCATCCTCAAAGAGGGAGAGAGAGAGCCATTTGCAACTCATGCGATGCGAGACACATCTTGGACATGACCCTGGCCATAACGGCAGTTCGACCTCCATAATGATTCCACTTCGTTCGTCTTTTCTAATGCCGAGGAATGCCGAGGAACTCTTCTGCAGCTCTGAGGTGTTTCTTGTTTAATTTTAAAGAAGAAAGCAGGCAGCGAAAGTTCTTTTTGTTTTTGGCTTACTTCTCGCGTAGCATCTATTATTATTTGTATGCAAATTAGCGACGCGCAGCCCCCAATTCCACCTTTGTTTGGCAGTGTAACAATTATGCTTTCATCTCTCATCTCTCACCTCTCGATTGTTTGCCAAAAAGAAGACGGCAATCTATTTAACAATGTGTTAATTACACTTGGGTCTCGCACACAGAGTTCTTAAATCAAAGCGAAGGCGCTCCGCTGTCCGCTGTCCGCTGCCCGCTGTCCGCTGTCCGCTGTCCACTGTCCGTTCCGTAACCGTAAAACAAATCTGAGCTTAATCGTTAATTTATGATATTTCTAGCGGTAACCGACAGCCCAGCCCGGCAGTCCCCCACCAACAATCAAGATCCAGCCCGGAGACGCTCCGCTGATCAACGTCTCTCACCATTGGGGCATTCTTTTTGCCTCAACTTCTCCTGCCGCTGGACGTTGGGTAGATCATAAACTTTGGATTGTATCTTCTTGCTGCTGCCCCATTCATTGATTTGCTTTGATTTGATTTGATGGCCTTTGAGAGACCATTAACATGCCCGCTGCCCGAGCATTGAATTGTAATTAATGATTTGTCTTGCAGCTTATGCAAGAGGAAATGGCAGCTGCTGCTGCTGCTGGTAGATATATTGATGAGTGGATAAAACAGAGACATATATTATCTCAATCCCGTTGTAATCCTTAACTTACACTCAGGAGAATCTCAATTGGCACACACCTCATGGGAACATGGGAACATGGGAACCTGAGCAGCAGCAGGGAAAGGCTTTTGGATTTAACCTTCTCCCAGGCCTAAAGCCTGGTCCTAATCCTAATTCCATTGCTAAATGCTTAAATGGGGAGCATGCTCCACGATTAGTCTCTGACAACAATTGAAGACTTCATTGGAGTTGTCCTCTCGCAAGAGCCTTTTAGGTGCGCGGACATGTGACAGCAATTTGAATTAGGAACAAACCAAAGAGGGAGAGTCGGCAGAGACTTTGCTGAGAGAGTCATTTCATTTGTAATTTCATTGAATTCTCTTCTCTCATTTCAGGTGAGTCTCCTGAATCTACTTAGAACAACCTGTTCCTCCTCCTATGAGTAAGTTGCTCAACCTGCTGCTGTCGATTGGCTTCGATATTCGATGGCCAATTGCTTGATGGCTATGTGTGTCGTCGCTCTGGCCATAAATTATGTCGTTGTGGAGAGTCCCACTCGGAGCCCCGCAAAACTTGGAGCTGCCACCAAGCATCATAGTTAGGCGCACATCAAAATTTATAGGTCAGTGGTGGCAACAAATTGCGCAAGGCATTCCAATGTCCAATGTCCAATGTCCAATGACTGCCCAAATCAATGGCGATTCCCAAGCTCCATCTGAGATGCCCTCCATCTTCAGTGGCTGGCCCCCAGCTCGGTCGCTCCTTCTTCTGCCGCAGCATCTAATAAGGCTTGACCAGTTCTCTCCCTTGTCCATGTCAACGCTGACTAAACCAAACAACCAACCAAAACACTGACCCACTCAACACTCAACAATGCTGCTCCAATGTTATGGTACTGAAAGTCGCAGTCTTCCATCTTCCATCGCCAACTGCCTCTATCTGGTGCTTGCTGTGTGCTTCGATCTGGGATCTTTCTCCCAACCTTATGACAATCGATTTGCAATGGAAAGAAAATGCCTGCAGGCGCTCCATTTATAACAAGTGGCCAGCATTTGGCCAACTATCCAAGAGACAGCCACTCCACTCTCCACTCTCTGGTTGGGTCCTACGGTGAACTTTTTTGTTCTCCTTGCCGCAATGTTGCCTGTTGTCATTGTCGTTGTCTTGCCAGCTTGCCAGCTTGCCTCTTGCGATAGTTTGAGAGTCAAGTTGTTCCAATAATTCTGCATTTGACATTCAACGGGGGTTTACCCGAGGTTCTACTTGTCTTTTTTTTTGTGTCTGTCCGCAACGGTTGTTGTTTTTTGCTGTAGGATGTCGCTCGGTCTCCTTGGTCGCCCATTGTCTTGGGCAGAAACATTGACAGGCCTTTGCCTTTGCCTTTGCCTTTTACCTTTCCCCTTTTTCTTTTGCCATTTCCCATTTCCCCTTTCAAACTTTTCTGGTCAATTGCTAATTAGGCTAAAGAATGGTCGGATCTGTGCCTGGGGATTCTCCATTGGGAATAGTTTCTACTGCAAAGATCCCTGGTAACCTCCCAGAGTTCCGCTCTTCCCTGGCCCAATTCCTTATGCCAATTCTCACCTTATTGTCCTTGTTGTTGGTCGCTGATCCCAGCTTCTGCTGGTAGTACTCCTCGCGTGCATTCGTGCTGAGGCTGTCGATGAGCGCCGAGGCATTCACGTGGCCATCGTAGACGAGGCCATCCTGCTGGTTGCTGTACGTGGAGGCAGCCAGGACTCCCGCGCCTGCTGCTGCTGCTGCTGCGGAGGATGAGGCCGCTGCCAGAGGTGGAATATTGGCCTGTGGTGTCCGTGTGTACAGCTGCTCGATGGGCAGGCCGGGATTCGCTGAATTTGTGGTGGCCGCGGGCAGGGATGAGGAGGATGATGAACCAATCGAAGGCGTCACCTTCTGCAGGGCGGGCTTCGTCTGCTGCTTCTGCTGGTAGCCGGCGTTGGGGGTGGAGAGCTTCTGCTTCTGGGTGGTGCCTGGGCTGGGTGGCTTCGAAGCGGCTGCCGCATTGGCCGCCGCCGCCGCCGCACTGTTGCTGGTCGGGCGCTGGGCGCCGCGCTTGAGGGCCGCGGCGGTGACCTTGTGGCCGAAGGGTCGCTTGGTGGCCTGGCGGTGCTTCAGCTTCCCCATCGTCGTGAGGGTGCGCTGCTGGCTGCCCGCGTTCGTGGCTGTGGCTGCGGCTGTGGTGGAGGTGCCGCCGCTGCTGGGATCCGCATCTGCTGCCGTGATGGCTGCAATGTTGTTGTTGGAGCGGGCGGCCACGAACTGATCGTCGGGATTGGTGGCATCGGTTAGGGCCTCGTCGCTGGTGGTGGATGCTGCCGCCTGCTCCTGCTCCTGCTCCTGCTCCTCCTGGGACTGCTCCTCCGTCTCCTGGCTCAGCTCTGGCTGTGTCGTGAGACTCGAAGAGGTCGTCTCGCCCGTCTCCTCCTCCTCGTTGTGGTCGCTCGTCCCGGTGCCCGCCTCCTGGCCGAAGTCCGTGGTGGTGGGCAGATCCTTCATGAGCGTCGTCTGCTGCGTGACGGCCGCCTGGAGCACTGCCTGCTCGTTCATGGTGTGCTGCAGCTCCAGGAGCGTCGTCTCATCGAGCAGCAGGGTGGGATCCGTTTCGGCCTCCGTGGAGCCAGTGGGTGGCAGCGTGCTCTGCTCCTCCGCCAGCTCCAGCTGCTCCGTTTCCGCCTCCGCCTCCGTTTGCTGTTGGGTCGTGGAGGTGCTGCTGCTGGTGCTGGTGGTCCTGGAGGAGGTGGCCTCCTGCTGCTGGCTGAACTGCTGCTCCTCGATGTCCAGGGACTCCTTGAGTCGCGCCACCCGCTCCACGATCCTGGCCAGCATGTCCTTCTGCTGCTCGGGCAGGTTCTTGGTGTCCAGCTCCAGCAGTCGGTCGTACTTGCGGATGTTCCGCTTCACCGTCTCGATGTCCGCTCGGGTCTTGGCCGACGGGGGGATGGGCTTGGCCTGCGGCTTGGCATCCTCCTCCTGGAAGTAGGCGCGCGCCCTGCGATTGCTGTAGCCCACCAGCTCGATGACACCCGGATAGTCGGAGGCGGAGGCGGACGTGGCTACAACGAGGATGGCCACCAGGGCCAGGGCCAGTGCCAGTGCCAGGGAGCAGCTACAGCTCCGAACCATTTTTAGGAGCGGGAGTCACACTCGGGGGGGAAAAACTCGACACACTCGACACTTTGGGTTCTCTGGGATATTTCTTCGTTTCTCTTTCTTCCTTCGTTTTTGTTTTTTTTTTTGCACTCGCGAATCACGTATTTTCGTGTATTTTCTCCCCCTCGTTAATCTTTCGTCTCTTTACCGCTGCTCGGGCGGATTAATGTCAACTAACTGTAACTGTGACGCTTTGACAGCTCTCTCGGCAAAAACACGCTCAGCGCTCGCTGCTGCTGCTGCTGCTGCTGCTGCTTCTCTCTCAAAGAAGAAAACGCGAAACACGAATCCAGCAATCAGGAGGAGAATGGAATGGAAAATGGACTGAGGGGAATCTTCTGCTCGATGATGCTTCTGCTGCTACTTTGGGGATATTTTTTCTATGCGTGTCTCTCGGTCGGTCGCTCGGTCTCGTCTTCGGGCCACGATCCGCAGACGGCTAATGTCGGATTACAAATGTTCCAGGCCGCTGGATTGCAGCGTCTTTTAAAAATTTTCAAAGCGGAAAACGCATCGCGCGGCCGTCGAGCGAAGAGAAGACTTTTCTCCCAGGGCCGCAGCCCCCACACCAACCCCCCACCACCCGGTCACGGCCACAAGTTGTTCTTTCACCAAGTTCATGGCTTAGACCGGACCGGTTTGAAGCCAACATGTTGCATGCCAAGCCAAGCCAGGCCGCCTGCGATAGCGATCTCAGAGAGGTCTCGCAACCAAAGAGAGTGATCAAGAGAGAGTGGGAGAGCGCTTTCTTTCTGGTAGATGTTGCTAAAGTTTCCATGTTGCTAAACTTGTATGAAATGTTGACAAACTTTATTTACATGTTGCAAAGGTTCCACTGACAAATGACTCCTGCCTCTGTGAGCTGGGGGCATAGATTTAATTGCACGGCCAGGCACACGCCTTCCTCTAAGAATAACCATCCAGCACGAGCACGATCATGTGTGTATATCTGCCGGGGATCGCTGCAATCTACGGTATATATTCCCCAATCAATTAGTCATTCCACAAACGCACACAAACGAAGAGGCAGCTCCTAGGCAGAGGTCTCTGTTTTGGCCTGGTTCTGCGGCTGGCTTGGCTCTCTGTTTCGGTTTCTGTTGCTCTGCTCTGCTGTTCGACTGCTTTCGCTTCAATGTCAACTCAGCGGCTCGTTTAGCCTGTCATCGATTCGGTAGACTGGTAGAACCAGACACCAAAGACACCATAGAACTAGAGACACACTCACAAAACCCGCGATTCTGGCATGGATCCCCATCCTGATCTCCTCTGCTGGTCTGGTCTGGTCTGGTCTGCTGTGCTGTTTGATGTTCAATTTAGTTAAATGCTTTCGTATTAAACATAATTTGTCGCGGCCTTCTTAATTGTAGATTGAGAAATGGCCAAGCCAAGCTCTTCTTTCTCCTCTTCTCTGCTCTCTCTTTCTTGACTTTGTACCTTTCTCCCATACCCATCGCCGTGTGATCTATAGCCCAGAACGTGCCGCGAACTACTAATGAACTTTGGTCACAACTCCAGATTCATTTCCATTTCCATTTCCATCTACATTTCAGGGTGTTCCCATAATTGTTCTCTAATGTAACGAGCGAGAAGGGTATGTGGGCACTCTGATGGGGTTTGTCATCATGCATGGTCTACCAAAATAATTACCAAACTCTCAAATATCTATTCTGCATTTAATCCAGCGAAAATGAATAAATTCAGAGCCCACTTTAATGCTACTTCCACCCACTGCTC